GTTTGAAATATTCTAAATGAAATACATTTCATTTTTAATGAAATATGTATAAAAAATAATCCCGATCTTAAATAGAATATTATTTTATTCTTAGATATAAATTAAATTTATAAAATAACATTTACTGAGAATTGTGAAACAAACCCAAATTTCTATATAAATAATGAAATTACATACATCTAACTTAAGTCAATTAAGCACTTAACACGACAAATACAACATAAAAACTTAATTACAATATTATTAAATAAAATTATATTTAATTAGTAGTATTAAGCTTTAAAAACTTCCCAAAATAGAACACAAGCTAATTAGGTTCATTCACATCAGGTTCATTAAACAGCGAAACACGAAATGGGAGAATTTATTATCAGCCTTTTTTGGCATATGCAAACTTGTTTTTCGCTAATAATGGCAAAAAATCTAAATTTACAAATTGGAACAATTTCGGATCAAGAAAGAATTGTAAGCTTTTCTTAAAATTCTTAATCAGTCAGAATAACAATTGCTATCTTGTAGCAAATTTAAATGGCTTTCGAATAAGCTTAGTAAATTTTATTAGGGTTCGAAATTTCTTTAAGGATCTTACACCTGTTTTACGTTTATTTTCACTGTATCGAGATGTAAAAAAAGTAAATTTGATATAAAATATAAGTAAAAAATGTCCATAAGTAAATTACAAATGAAAAAGTAAATATGTATTAAAATGTTAAGTTTGTATTAAATTTAAACAAAAAAACTAAATTCTCGAATTGTATATAATGCTAAGTAAAACGAATTGTGAAAATAGTAATAGTGAAATAGCATTTGAAATAGAATTGTGAAATAGTATTTAATTATTTTCATCATTGAGAATTTATATTTTTAATAGCTTTTTTAATTCGTCCAAATTCTTTAGCATATGCATTATTAAAATCAGAACTGAAAAATTTTTTTCAAAACTTGTAAATTTGGTATTATTTTAAATCACGAAACCTGTTCAGAAACAGAATAGGACCATTCGAAGCTGCAGATATATTAAGTATAATCCCAAAATAAGTTCTAATAAACCAAATATCAATTTCTGATAACCCCAATAATGGCCATAAAACAGCTAATGTCAAAACGATAAAATAACCACCAATATTTACAAAAACTATTAAAGAAAGCGAACGTAGTAATTTACGCATTTTTTCGTCTTGCAAATCTTTTTAAATTTTAGAAGAATAAATATAAAATAAGATAGAAATAAAACATTTAAGTTTAGAAAATAAATATTTGATAGATTTTTATAGGTTTGACAATGTTTGTTTGTGGTAGTATTTTTTGAATGGGATATTTTGTTGTAAGGACTAAGGGCTACCTTACTCTTTTAGTTTAGCATTGTTGAGGATCGAGGTTGGCAGTGTAGGATATGTCGGGCTTCAGTCATCTCCCCGACACCCGACTTCGTGGAGATGCATGAAGCATCTTTCCGACACCCGACTTTTTGTTGTGTGACGGGATTTGTCAAAAAATTTTTAACTAAATATTTTGATTTATAGTTTCGAAATTTTTGATTTATAGTTTCAGTAAAACCCAAGAGTCATTATTTCGGTGTTTGGGCGAATAAATTTTAATTATATAACAATAAATACATTTTTTTATATATTATATTTTTATAAATACATTTACCTCCTTTAATTTTTACCAAAATTCCAACAGCAATATGTAATAGAATAGCAATTAACATTACTGGTATCAAAATAATTCTGGAATCAAATGAATTAAGAGCAGTTACGCCAATAACTTCGCCTAAAAAATTAGCTACAGGCCAATTTGGATATGCCTCTATTGAAGTATAAGTCAAATGAACAATATATATTCCAAAATTAATAATTATTATCAGATGTATTGAAATATAAAGATGAGAATTATGATTGATGTAACTGTATAAAATTGGCAAATTAAAACCAAGTAAATACACGTATTAAATACACGTATTCGGCAAATTGGAACCGACTTTTTTCGAAAATTCTTTTCGAAAATTCCAAAATATTATCGTTACGATTCCGGTAACGGAAGTATCGAAAATTATCGGTCCGTTAGTAACGTTCAGTACTTTTTTCGGATCCTGATCTATCAAACTTACTGGAGACTTGATAAGTATTTACTGGAGACCACCAACTTACTGGAGACCCTTTTGGGTGTCTTATACATATTTAAGGGAAGAAATGATTGGCATTAATAAAGAGGAAAATAAATGATTGCCGGTAAAAAATGAAAATTAATCTGAGACTGGAATAGGTGTGGGAGACGCACTATGAACAAAGTACCATTAATAGTTTTATAAATTTTCATTGGTGTAAATTTATGGAGGTCTCCTAACTCTCTCACAACTCTCTCTACGCTCAATGTATAATGGTTTTATAAAATTATTAGTTACAATATTGGAAATGCTATAGCAAAAACTCTATCCAAACTTAAAGATGCAAACATAAAAATTGACGCAAAAAAACCAAAGATAGGGATAGCTTGATATTTAAAAGCTAATATAGCTGGTACAAAATTAATTCCTTTTATTGTAAAAATCAAAAAGAATAAATGACCAATTTGATGTAAAATTTCACAAAACGAGTTGATAGCCAGTAAAATGCTTGTTTTGCTTTTCATTGCTGTATATTTTCCCCTAAATTATTTATCCAGATTTAATTTCATAGAGTAAGTTTCAAAGGTTCAGCTTTGAATTATAACTTAAATCGTAGATGTCTTATTAAAGGATCTTGAGTTATCATAGGTTCTGATTAAATAGTAACTATAGTGATCGCTTCCTAATGATCTAAGTTTATGTACATAGGTTGCTGATCTTAATTGATTATCTTCATCATCGATAAAATACGATTTAGGCTTCTTATTAGGAAATCAGTGGTAATAATTTTATAGAATATTCAAGATTTAAATTACCAATATTTCACAACTATATAACAAACACTTGAATTCATTGACATGCCAAAAAAAGAAATAAAACCCATAAAAAATGCAGGAAGAAAAATTGCAAATTGAAAGCCAGAAGATTGATAGGCCAGAAAAATTTCCTTTAAATTTTATTTTTAATTTTTAGATTAAAAAGGTCGGCAAAATATTTCAACTTCTAGGACCTGTTAAAAAGGATATTTACTAGCTGAAAGCTCAGGGGAACTGTCAGAAATTTGCAATTCAAAATTAGTTGTGAGTATAGTTGGACGATATCGATATCGAAAAAAGACCGATATTTGATATATCGATATCGATCTCAACATGTCCAACTCTAGTTGTGAGTTCGTCGGTTTTGGGATCAACATTTGGTTTTGATTAATGGATAATTTTCAATCTCAAACGTCCCTAAAATTTACGCGCATAAATAAACTAACAGGTAATTTTAATGTCGTATTATTCATTATTATTTAATGTAGTATAATTTTTTAAATTATTTTGTAAATTAAAATTGGATTTTCTAATTGGAAGAAATATTGTATTAAATATTTTTAAAATTTAAATAAAATGAAAAATTGAAATTTTTACTGAAATATTTTAAACAAAAACTTTCTATTGAATTATAAAAATAATACCTCAATTTTTTATTAAAAATTTAATTAATAATATAGCTAAAAAGTTACATGCTTAAGCTAAAATTACTAGTTAATAAAATTATATACATCAAGCTTGAAACAATTACGCCACGTTAAGTTTAATTATAAGCTTGCTTATAAGTTTTTAATTATAATAAATTTGAAATTATGTATTTCTTTTAAATATTTATATTTGATTTTACTAAAGTGTACCGGAACCAATTATAATTTAATAATAATTTAAATAAAATTTATTTCATTTAAAACGGCAAAATGCCATTAATTTTTTAAACAAAATGTAAACTGATTGAAATTTTCAAATGTAAACAACAAAAAAATGAAAAAAATTTACAAAATCGTTGTAAATAAAGCAATTTTTGATTAAATGAATAGGTAGATTGTTGTGGTAAATTAATGTAATAAAAAGTTTTTTGAATCTTTACATACATGTGATTGTTGAATTTAGGTAGATGCCAGAAAAATGTCACACTCCCCAAATGATATATAACAATTTAGTTGGGCTTATGCTACTTGGGAACGCTTCGGATATCCATGAATCGACCCGAATAACCTAACAAAATAATCCATGGCCCTATTGTTAGGTTACGAACAGACAACCCTGCTTAAATATTAGATTTATTAGACCTAAGGACACGCATACGAGGCCCGCTGTAAAGATATCTAATTAAGTTTCCAAACTAACAACACTAAGGATGTACACACAAATCTGGCCAGACTTTATAGAGATCGTTTTATGCGAAAATTATTTATTTATAATATTTAATGTATAAAACTACTAAACTGTTCGATATCTATGTAATAAAAAAAGGAAAAATTGATGAAATCCCAATAAAAATTTTTTTTAAACCATAAAAAATATGATTGAAAAATTCTATTTGGATATTTGTCGTTACCAAATTAATAGAAAAATTAGTACAAATTAAGGGTATTTAGAACTCCAATATTCCCTCCCCTGGCAAATCCAATCCCCGAAACTCAGGCCCTATAATCAGGGTGCTACCCTATTCAAATGACATTCCCTGCTTTAAGAATTCACAAGTTAACTTTATTTTAAATTGATAACGACAACAAGCATCATTTTCTAGAAATAAAATATTTAAATTTCAAAAAATGGTTTTTTCAAAAAATGGTTTAAATTTCAAAAAATTTCAAAAAATGGTTTTTTACAAAATCGTTGTAGATAAAGCAATTTTTGATTAAATGAATAGGTATAGGGTATAGAGATCGAATTAATGCGAAAATTAATTTATTTTTAAAATTAAATCAAAAAATTACTAAATTGTTCGATCTCTAAATAATAACCGTAAAAAATTGATAAAAACCAAAAAACTAGAAACCATAAAAAATTATGATTGGAAAATACTATTTGATATTTGTCGTTACTAAATTAAGAAAAAGATGAAAATGAGTTCAAAGTAGGGTACTACTCAGTCCCCGAAACCAGATATGCCCTCTCAGGCAAACACAATCTTTGCCACTCGCGGCCCTAAAAAGTACTCTAACTCAGGTGCTATTTCCTACTTTAAAATTCAGAAGTAAACTTTCCATTAAATTGATAACGACAAGAAGCATTTTTTTAAAAATAAACTATTTAAATTTCAAAAAATGAAGGTTAAAAATAAATAAATACTAAAGAATAAAAAATGAGAGAGAGATAAATATGAGAACAATTTTTAAAATAAATTTTTCTTTTGATTAAATAAATTAATCTTTTAATTTTTACTACAAAAATTATCCTGCAGCTTCGGCAAGTTCAGCCAAAGGCTCCAAAACTGGAACAAAACGAACACGATCTGAACCTCCAGAAGAAGAACGACGACGATGCCAACCAGAATTATGTCCAGACAAATAACTTTCATCAGCCATAGGCTTTAAATGATGAACTGAAGAATCCTCACCAACATTTGTGGGAGACAATGGACGGCTATATTTATCAGGAATGACAGATTTGAGGTAAACCTGGAAAAAATTAAAAAAGATTTAATTGAAGTTCAATAAAATTGTTTTGGAGTAAAATTTGAGTAGGAGAAGGACCTAAAGCCTGATCCTAGAGATGAGTCGGATCCAAAAAGAAAAGTGCCGGAGCCTGAGAAAGAGGGGCGGAGTTTATCATCTTCTGTCGGAACTGTGAAAATAAAAGGAGACTCTTAATACTGACCGACCTTTGCTTGGTACATATAAGAATAATTAATGGCAAAAAAATAATTTTTCATTCTAAAATTCTCAATACATGTTTTTTAGACTTACATCAGGAAGTAATTTATCAGGCTGAGCCTCATCTCTCACAATTCGCACTGAGCCAATATTACCTTTGATCAACTATAAAATTTTAAAATAAATTTTTGTCGAGTAAAATAAAGGACCTGTTCATAACGAATTAATTGCCTCCAAAATCCAATATTTGGTCTAACTAAAGGCCGTTTTTCACTCATTAAATGATAAGCATCACGTAATGAGCGAGTTCGATATTTGAGCAAATATGCAAGACAAATACTTGCTGAACGGCTAACACCCGCAACACAATGGACAAGAACGGCGCCACCATCTCGAATAATGGCATGCATCTGGGAATGAATTTTTGATAAGACTAGGATTAATTTCCAAGTTTAGTCTATATAAGGTTAAAAGTCTATTCAAGAGTTCTAAGCTGATTTTACGTGGTTGCGGGAATTCGTATTCGAAGAACGGGAAGTGGAACCTCCTGAAAGCTGGGGGACCTCCGACTGTCATTAATCGGGGAACTCACGAGGAAGGGCAGTCCCCTAGAATCTTATAATTTAACTTTCAATGTATAGTTTGCTTGATCTCAACTTAACCAATCCAACATTGAGGACGGTAATAGAGGAATTAAATGTAAGCTTGCCCCAACAAAAAGACCTCTAAATTTGGGCCGCAGTTTTCGAAACAAGCGAGTTTGAGGCAAACTTTTTTGGAAGTTGTTCAGGCTCCTTTTGCTAAATATTTAAAGTGAAATTATCCAGTGGGACGACGCTCGAAAATTTGTTTGAAATTCTAACGGATAAGTCTGTCCTAGTTCCTTTTTACTAGTTAACCAGTCGATTATCTACCTGATCAGCAACTATATCAAAATGAGCAAATAAATCTTCTTCAGAAGTATCCTCAACCCATAATTTCATTCTTGGCACTTGCCCCAAACATTTAAGGTTCGGAACTTCTCGTGTACAGTTAACGACTAATTGAATTCGAAAAGCACAAATATTCGCTGCTGTAAGCCCATTAACACCACAAATGAATAAACCAGGAATTATTTCAGATAATTGGGCATACTCTTCATTTACACGGAATGATAAAGGTGGCATGTTTTTTTATAATTTAATGTTGTTTATTTTATTAAAGGACGTTCAAAAATAATATTTTTTTCAATTATTAAATGAAAGCAAATTTTCTGTGTGCGTCTAAAAAATAAAAAATAATTAAAATTAGTCTATAAATTTGTCGAAAAAAAATAATTAAAAATTTCTTAGAAACGGAGAAATAATTTAAAAATATAAAAGAATGGATATGGTTGGAAATAGAAATTGGACCGAGTTGATTGCTGGAAGAAAAATTTTGATTATCGAGATGATATTTTTCGAGACCTCGTAGACCGATCTCATTATGGATATTAATAAAAAATAGAGGCATGTAAATCAATGAAAGAATTTTTGTATAGAAGTCACGATGTATTGAGAAAGTTTCAGTTTGGATATTGAATCTTCCAGAAAATTTAAAGGATCCGCCAACCATAATAAAAAATATTATCAAAATAAAGGAAAAATATTTTTTAAAATTAATTAAGAATTTTTTTTGTAAAAAATCAGTAAATAAATATGTATTTACTCAAAAGAGGAAGTTATATATTTAAATTAGTAATCTTTATGCGATAAAATGTACATAAACTAAATAAATAAAATCAAATAAAATTTGGAGGTTAATAATAAAAGTATATTTTAATTGATCAAATTATATCAATAAAATTACCAAAAATATTTTATATAAATTAATTAAAAATAAAATAATTAAATGGCTAGACCAACAAAAAATTAGAACGATAATAATTGCAAAGTTAAGAGAATAATGATTAAAAATAATTAATTGAAGAAAAAAAATTTTGTAAAATAATAATAATAATTTTGTTAGAATTTTATTTAGGAATGGCTTATAAATTTATTTTTAGTTCTAAAAATAATATTTTAAATTATCTATACTCTTTCTAGGTATCGAGGAAGTTATTTTTACAGATTAAGGAAAATAATACCAAAAAATTCTTTTAATATTTGTTAAATATTTTTTAAAAGTATTTAATTTATTATCTAGAAAAATAGAAATAAAATAAAATTAAATAAAAAATTAAATAAATAAAATTTATTTTTAAAAAGTTTACTTATAATTATAGACCGAACTGGGAGAATTCTCGATCACGATAACTGAGATTTTCGATCGAGATCTCGTCTCGGTCAGGTCTCTACTTATAACTTATTGCCAAATAATATGAATTCAAGAAAATTAAATTTTATCAATTCCAACGTAAGATAAGCAATTATCTAAGACAATATAAAAAATCACCTTATTAATCAAAATTTCAAATTAAAAAAAATTTTGGTAGGACCCAACTTTACAGTGAATTGTAATTTAAAGTTGATAATACTCTTATAATCTTGAAAATGACAAAAAATTTCAAAATAATTTTAAAATATTTTTCTTAATTCCGATAAATAATTTAAAATATTTTTTAACATTAATGATCACATTATCATTTAATAAATTTAATCATTATTAAAATAATGATAAACTTTTGCGAATAAAAAACCCAAAAATTCAAAAAAAAAATTTTTACAAATTTTTCCTTCAAATTTTTTATTTTTTATTGGGGTTTCTCGACCATTTTTAATATTAAAAAGCCCCTTATTTTATGATTAAATGATAATGGAGAAATTAAAATAAAACAAATAAACCGTAAAACAATTAAAAAGGCCAAGGAATAAAGTAAAATATTTGAAAAAAATTTTATAAGACAAAAAAGTATCGAAAAGTAAAAAAAGACTGAAAGAAAAACTGATCTGATAATGGGAAAAGGGAAAAAGTTTGTGAAAAATTCCAAAAAGATTATTCGGATATTATTTAAAAGAAAAATTCCTGAATGATTACTAATAGATCTTTCCACGATATCCGATTGGTGCCAATAATCAAAAAATGAAACATCAGAGAAAATCTAATACTATTCCAAGGAACTTATAGATGAGGCCCAGGAGGAGGGGTATTTGTGACAATTTGCTTCAACACTAGCATTTTTAATAAAAAATTTTTATTCTCCCAGGATAAGAAATACTATAGGGGTTTGTCAAAATATATTCAAAGTTTTTTAATAATAATAACGAATATAAAAAGTTTTTTCTCTGGAATCCAAATAATAAAGAAATGTTAGGAACAATTAAACAGCTGATATTCAAAAAGTAAATAATATATTTAAAAATAATATAAAATAATTCTTTGTGTTTCTTATGACAAGGGACGAATAATTAAAATAAAATAACTTTAAAATAAAAATAGAAAATAAAAAAAAATAAAAAATCGAAAACGTGTTAGTAAAATCAACAAAAATATTTTTCTAAAAAAATTTTAATTTAACAAATGTGATTTGGAAAAATAATTTTTAAACAAATAAAAATCAAAAATTGAAGGATTATAAAGAATTTAAACGATTAACATAAAAAAGTTAGAACAAAAAAACAAAATTAGTAAGCCTGAACATCCCCAAATCATTAATTATTTTTTAAATAAATTTTGAAAAAAATTAAAATAATTTTTTGTTTAATTGTTGACAAATTTTATTCTTTTTTTCCTAAACAGATATCAGTTAATAGCCTTAAGGCTTTTTGATGGATGTTTTTTTTAAATTACATATATACTATAAATGTACTTTAATCTTAAAAATTTTAGTTTTAATTTTAAAAAAGTATCAAAAATGTTTTTATAAAAAATACAATAAAAAATAATCAAGCAAAAACAAAAAATTTAGAAACGATATATCTTTATTAACATTTTTCTGCGAATAGAGTATTGTCAGATATATAAAATCCAGATCCGTCTAAATAAATTTTTAAAAAAGATACAAACTGAGAAAGATACAAACTGAGCTGGTCGAAAAGCATATTTAGGGACCTAGAAATATTATTAAATAATAGTAGTGTTATATGATAGAACAGAGGATTCATAATATCTTTAAAATAAAAGTAGATTCCATTTTAATTTAGAAAATGTTCAAAATTTTAAAGAAAATTAAAGAAAAAGATATCATTTCGGACTGGGAATGCCCTCAATCAGTTTGTTCAAGTCCGTGGCAGGTACAAAGTCCGTAAAGCAAAAAAAATTCGTTCATTTCAAGGTCCAAAAATTAGTTAAAGAAATAACAAATGATAAATTTTCTTGATTATTTGATTGACAGAAAAAATTTAGAAATAAAATAAAATTAGAAAGAAATTAAAACTAAATTATTGACAGCCAACTGTTGAGTTTAAATTTAAAAAATAAAAATTAAAAAAAATGAAATCAAAAATAACAACAACAGGAACTAGTTTTCTCAAATTCCCCGACATTAGGGGACGGGACAATTCTAATTTCAGTAGCTCCCCGATCTTCGGGGTCGGATGTGTCGTGGATCGGGGATTGTCGGTGAAGACTTCTGGGTTCGGGTCGGGGTTTTGGCTAAAATAAATTGTCGGGGTAAGGGGACGGGGAGCTACCCTACTTTTAATTGATATCTAAATTTTTAAAAAAATTCTTTACATACTAAAAAAAATAATTACAAGAATGATAATTCTAAATTTCTATTTTTAATTATTTTCCCTTTTTTAAGAAAGATTTACATAATTTTCTTATTTATCAAAAAAACTTTCATTAAATTTTGAATAATAAAAGCTATTTTATACAAAAATTCCTTCTATAATAGGCCAAACGCCAAACAACCCCGTGACTTAAAAATATAAAAACTGTGTGTGATTCTAAGAAAGGAAAACTAAAAATGAGGCAAAGAATAAATATACAACAAAACGTGATATAATTTAGTTGGACGCAAAAATTTGTTTAAAAAATAAAAAAAATTGAGAAGAAATTGATTAAAGAATAAAAAAAATATTGGTTATTGAGCTTTTGTTAAAGAAATTAATTAAATGAATGGTAAAGAATAAAGAATTATTCAGTCAAAATAAAATGAAAAAATATTAAAATTGAAGGAACAAAAATTTAAAAGATATAACTAGGGCTGGCAATTATATGGACGAAAACTCATTAATAATTATTCATTTTTTCTCATTTATTACTCATCCCATCCCATGAAAAAAATTTTGTGTTTTAAACAAACAATTTTTATATATTTAATTAAGCTTTAGTGTCCCTAAATGTCTACATACTGTACCGGAAACAAACAAAAAATTATTTGCGAAAATACGTTACAAATACAACAAGGATGTTGTTGTTTCCGTTTCCGGCTTATTTTGCTTATTTTTGAAAAGTGGAAATTAAATTATTAGTTAGCTTGAATTGGTGAAGATTTTGCAAATTTGTGAGGAACTCAGGACGACTCGTGTAGTCAGAGTTAAGATTCGAAAAAGGTCGGAGCTGGCTCGAGCCACAAAATGCTCAAAACCCAATAGTTTTAAAGAGCGGAATTTGGAAATGAACAAAAGAAAATTGTAAAAAAAAATTTTTGAATAAAAATAGTAATAAACAGAGAATATTTTTATACTTTTTTTACTTATTAAAGAGTAATTTTAACAAATTTGGGCAGGAATGGGAGACAAACATATACAAATAATTTATATATAGTAGTTGCTTTAAGAGCGAAAATCAATAGAATAAAAATGGAAAAAAGGGCCAGCTGACTGAGGACAATTTCCGTAACCCTCGCTTGCCAAAAAAATTTTTTTATTTAACATAAAAATTGTAACCATGCGGAATAATTAAAAATATTGTAAGGCTGGTGAGAATTATCGCCAGCAGAGAGGAGGAAACTGCAGATTTTAATGAAAATTATAAAAAAAATTTTCATTTGCAGAAAAAATGCCTCTCATAGCAAAAACTGCAGATTTTAATAAAAATTATAAAAAAAATTTTTTCATTTGCAGAAGCACTGCCTGCCTCTCATAGCAAGAATTACATCAACACAATTTTTAATATTTTCTCGAACGAGGTTTACTGTATTATTGAATAATTGCTCAATAAAATTTTAAAAATTTAAAATTAAATTAAGAAAGAGAATTATAATTAAGGCTGGGAAAAATAAGCACGCAAATCGCCAAATATGCGCATATATATGCAACAAAAACCGCCTAAAAATATGCAAAAAATATGCAGCCGAAAATAGTGAAAATTTGCTTTAAAATGAAATTTTAGTAAAAAACACTATTTTAGCCTTTAAAATTTCAATTTAAGATCATTACTATAAGATTTTATGGACTTTAAATTTCCGCATAAAAATTTTTGAAGAAAAAGTTTTTCCACCGATATGCAAATATGCACAAGAGGGCCGAAATATGCAAAAATATACATTAACAACCTGGTCTTAAAGTGCTCGGAGCAATGTAAAAACACCATTTTCGAGCATCTCTCATCAAGGCATATCCGCATACCGGCATATCACGCATTTTAATGTTTTTCCCAGCCCTAATTATAATATCTGAAAGAGATATTCGTGAGCAAAAATAATCATAGCGAGT